TGATGATTTTTAAATATAATTATTATCTCTAATTAACTTCACATAGAAAAGAAAAACAAGACGTCAACTTTTGGTAAAAAAGGAAGCTATTGCAAAAAGCTTGGTAGATAAAGCAAATTCTGTGCCAAACCCTTTAGAACCTTTAAAATTTTTTCATAAATATGTAACAAAAGATAATGAAATTATTGAACTCTCTTGCATGAGAGGTAAAGATGCACAGGCTGAATGCATATCTTGGATATTTGATATTATGGAACGTAATATGAAATCTATGTATGAACAAAGTGATTGGGGTTGGGACCCAATTGCCAAGCAAAATGAATTAACAGAACCAGAGGCTTGGTATTTAGTAGCATCTTCAAATAATAAATTTGTTGGATTTTCTCATTTTCGCTTTGATATAGATCATAGGGAAGAAGTATTGTATTGGTATGTAAATTTCACATGCTTCCAGACATTAAGAAAAATAAAAAAATATATTTTTTCATATAGCTATGAAATACAATTGGAATCCACAGTACGGCGAAAAGGACTTGGTCATTTTATAATGTCAGCACTTGAATCTATAGCATCAGAATACAAGATGCACAAAGTAGTTTTGACTGCATTGAAGCATAATCCATCAGCTATGCAGTTTTTCTGTTCTATTGGGTAATAAAATTTGTTTTATAATTATGATAAAGGATTAGTAAACATGGGAAAACAATAGATTTTTATACTTTTAACTTTATTACAGATTTTTTAATATTTATAATCAAATATACATACATTGTAGATGTACAAAATTACATTTTCTAAATTATCAGTACGACTAGTATGAAAATGTTGTTTTATCTTATAAAAGCTGACATTTTATCTTTTAACATATTATATTAATTGAGCTAATAATTTAAACTAAGGGTTTATAGTAATAAACAATATTATAAGGAATATTTTATGTTGTTATCTATTGAGTATGAAAATTAACTATTTTCCTTGATAAAAAAAATAGATCACATTAAGGAAAAGTGTTTTGTATAAAACAAAATCTGTTTCTAACAATTTTTATATGTGTGTTGTGTCAAAAATTATAGTTTTTATATACATTTACAATTTTGTAATCAATTAACTGTCATTATTAGTGTATAAAAATAAGGCAGTCAAGATCATGAGTAGACTAGGCTAATTCACTATATAATATATGATATATATTAAGCAATCTAACAAATGAGGCTCAAATATAATCTGTACAGTTAAAAAATATGTTCATGTCACTAGTTTCATAAAATGCTTACATTGTTCACATCATACATAATCATTTTCAATTAATACTGTTACAGCTACAAGATGGATAAAACCAGCCCATCAGCATCTGATCAAGTGGATTATATTATTTTAAGTAAGGCTGTTGATAATGGAACAATGAGCAGAAAGCTAAATTCGTTTCAGTGAATCGAAGAAAGTATCGAATTCCATATCTTAAGATTGTGTTTTATGAAATAAGATTGGTAGTATTTGGTGTGGACATAAGTTAACAATAGGTGATTTCAATGATGGCCCTACATTATGGAATGTGAGAGGTGCTTTACTAATAACCCAGTCATCTATATAATTAAGGAACTTTGTTAAATCAACTTCTACGGACTCAGAAATATTAAAATAGCGTAAATAAGAATTGTCGTTCCAACACATATCTAAAGCTGTTTGATGTAATACCATTCCAATACCTTTACCAGCTCCTTCAGGAATAGGAAATACTCGAAAGCTAACGACACTTAAATCTGCAGGAAAGTCGTAACGAAGTGGTGAGAAATGTGCATTTAAATTAAAAGGTAAAGAATCATATGGATGCATTGCAATTATTGGGTGTAATAGTTCTTCTGATGCTAAATGACCATACAATGATAATAGTCCAGATGGGTGATTTGTCGGAGGTGTTGAAAATGTACAAAAAGGCTTTCTGTTTTCGAGAACGAACATAAATAAATGATTTGTTAACAAGTTGTCAGTTATACCTTGACCAAGCCCTCTGTTATCATCTTGAAGTAGTCTTCTATCTTGCATAATCTGTAGAGAAATGTTTTAAGTATTATAATAATATGTTGTTTTGTGTAAATGAAAATAAATATGAAGTGTGTACCTCAATTTGCCCAGATGCCATAGAACTTACACCTAATGGTTGTGCTGTTACCACTGTTAATCTAACTTTCTTATCTTCTATGTATGCACTTGCAGCCATTGGATAATAGTTTCCTTGTATAGGAAGTTTTGGAAATCTTTGACGCTTAATCATCTAAATAATGATAATTTTTTTCAATAGAATTACCAACATTCGTGTGATATTTCAGTTATTATTACTTACGTTAAGACCATTTAGATCCGTAAAAAATTGATCTCCCGAAGCTATATCCGTGCTTAATCTCATAGCAAGTTCATAATTTTGTGTTTCTGATATATTAATTTCATTAAATATATGTAAACCAAGCCCATCACCACCAGGAGAATTGTATAATATACAAGTATGACGTACGTGTGCTAGTTCTACAAATACTTTAGATACAATAGGTCCACTTATAAAGTGTATAATACATTTGTTATCCATGAACACCAAATCCGGTTCTGGTTTATCGGGTAGAAATAAATATGCTCCACTTTTATCTTTACCAGAGCCTCTGGTACCATATTTAACAAATTCCAAATGAACAGGAACTGTCGTGTTACCGACTCTCAAAGCTTTCAGAAGACCTGATTTTCCAAAAGATGCAGACAATTCTGGCCGCTGTGTGATCGAAAATTCTTGCGCGTTTGGTATTATTTGAATTTGATTGAAACCTGGTATTTTTGGAAGGTGTATATCTGTATTAAAAACAGTTACGTTTGCAAAATGCACGTCCCTACAAAAAACGAAAAATACAGAATTGAATTATAAACATAAATGTTTAGAAATTTAAATAAAAAGATAACGTACTCTCGATATGATGATTCAGGTAAAGCGTGAATTATATATGTTGTAATACCAAATCCAGATACCGTAACTAAAAACGATAATTCATATCTGGCAACCGTTAATGCAGCAGGACCAATCCAAATTGGAGAAATTTGACATTGTACTGGTTGGCCCATACGATCGGTAACTCGAACAAATGGAGTGGACACAACTAGTGTCTGTATTTTTGTTCTTTGTCTCGGAAGAGAATTGTATAAAATAATCTGTTTTAGAGGATTCTCATGTCCTAATATAAGTACATGCTTGTCTCCGGCACTGGTATGACGCAATCTGAAGCAGAAAGTAAAGTTTTTATATATTCAAAATAATGAATACAAAAATTGGATATAAAAAAAGAATATTCATAAATTTCTTTCAAACCTAGATTCATCAAGTGAAATATATACAGCATCTGCATCAATACTAGATTCTTGAGGAGTTTTCAATAAATGTATCATGGATTGTTGAAGTACATGAGCAGAATTGTTTAAGGCCATTATCATCTTTTTAGCATAATCTATAACAACTTCATCTCTTGCAGTTCCAGTAATACCATCATGATGTTGAAACAAAGAATGTGACATTCTTGCTTTGCTCAAGCGTTGTGCAAGAGAACCTTCCACCAAATTGTCATTACCTTTGGTCCAAGCAATGGTGGTTAATATTTCTGATGCTCTCAATAAACTCAATAATACACGATCTAATCGTTTGTGGAAAGGCCTAGAATACATTTAATAAATATGTTGATTGCTTAGTATGATTAATTTATATTTAAGTATACCTTGATGTATAATATCCACTCCAATAATGATCATCTCTATCAGAATATGTGAAAAAATCTCCAGATAAAGTAGGAAATTCATTTAAATTATGTTTCTCTCTAATAGCATCAAAATAATCGCTTAACGTTCCGAATTTAATTTGAACGTTCATTTGTTGATTCTCATTCATATAGTCAAAAAGTTTTCGATAATTTTTATACTGAGCATCCCATTCAGTAAAATGAGTGTATCTAAAATCATCTCCTAGTGGTGCTAACACCACATCTGTCTTAAAAAGTTGAGCTTTCTTACGATACTGATCCAGTAAAAGAGCAGCTCTTTCTGCAACATTTAAATCAGTTATAACTTTTGGAGCTATTTTCCATGGACAACTGAGTCCAAAATTTTGTAGTCTATAAAAGTCAAATTGACAACATATTTTTGGATCTGGACCACAAGTGTGTGGCACATCATAGCTATAAAATGGCATTACATGTGTAAAGATTTCTGTTGATCCATCATTATCCCATAACTGCCTCCAACGAAATTCTAGTTGTTTTTGCTTAGCTAATCTTTTTTTAACAGAATAATGGACTCGTTGTATTAGAACATTTTCCAATCCTGCTTTTTTTAAAAGATATGGCATAGTTGGAGAAAGACCAAATGGATCGATAGCCCAACCAGAATTTGGTGTATAATCTAAATTATATTTTAACCACTGATGACCTTCTGTAAGTTGTGTAAGCTGAGACATCCAATGAGAAACAGATTCATCTGGCATGACCCATCCCCCTGAGACTATTTCTAATTGACCATCATGAATTAAACGTCGAACTAAATTATGAGTTGTTTTTGACTGATCTTCCCACCAACGTTGAAAAAATGATATTTCTGCCCAGATAAATTTGCGTCTTCTGTCTTCTGTCAATTTTGTTACCATATTATTTAATATATTTCGAGTTTGAAATGCATAATATTTTTCAAATGTATTAAGCCAACCAGGATCATTATGAGAATGAGGAACAACAAAAACTCTTAGTTTTCTATTTGGATGCCATTGTTTGTCATCATATGTAATATCCCATCCTTGTTTCCAAACTCCACCATCCACATTGTCAAATTCTAATTGTCTGTACATTTCTAACATTTGAATATCTATTTCAGGAATTTTCTGTATGTTAAAATTACATTTAAGTACTTTCCCTAAATGAGAAGGACTAGATGATATAGATTGATTGTGACGATTTATAGAATGCACTATGGGTACAAAATTTTTTGCTTCAGCCACTTCTCTCAAAGCATTCATAACTTCATGATGCTTATTAAAATCTTTTTCTAATTTTGCAAGTCTGTTTTCAAAATGCAACCACTGATTCTGAAAATACACAACAATAAATTATCATTATTCACTAAACATAAATTATATTATGCATATATTTATCAAAAACTTACATCATTAACAGAAAGTTTTGATCCTTGCCCAGGTGGAAAAAGTGTTAAATCCATCATTAAATATATCATAATACAGCAGGCAAGGATTAAACCTGCACTGAGAATTGCAAATGTTTTTCTAGTCCTCATTTTTGCATTCTTATCAATTCAAATATAGTTTTATGATAAATTGAATAAAACTGTTAATAACATTTAAAGATTAAATTTTA